TATATATATATATATATATATCCCATCACCTCCCACCCTTTCTCCAACACGATCCTCCTGCTCCTCCTGTCCTGTCAGTCCCTGCGGGTTCAAAGGGTGGGGTGTCATCGACCTCCCTGCAGCGTTCCCGTAGCGACGTGGATGTTAACGCAGCAGCAGTTGCTAAATACCGGCACGTCGGACAAACCGGGGGAGCGGGCCGTCTGCCCCCGGGGTCCTACTCCTCACTGGGTAAGGGCTCTGCCAGTCAAGTTAGATGCTTATTCAGACAGTGGAGACGTAGGTCAGCATGTGATCAGCTGGAAGTCAGACTATAAAGAGTCTCGTCAGATCAGTACAGAGGAAGTTTTTTAAAGTTTCTGACAGGTTGAAGTAAGAAGTACGTGATCGTGTATAAAAGCTTGACTCATCTGCATAACAGAAGGATGGACGTCCAGACCCAAACACTTTAGCGCTTACACTGACTCCTCTCCTCTCCTGCTGCCTGCTCATTTGCCTGTTCGTGTGCTTGTGTGTAGATATACTCTATGCATGCTCTCTGTACGGATATTGTCCTCTGTGTCAGTTTGTCTCTACATTTTCGATGTCGATCCCTACATCTGCACGGTTCTCAGATAAACAGATGTTATGTGACTAATTCACACTGTGCTCCTTTCTTCTCCTGTTTCTCTTGTATTTCATCTTTTTCTATTTTTCTTATTTTCAACTTTCTTTTCACATTTATTATTCACATTATTCGTTTTCCCTTTTCCCTTTGTATAATTTCTGTAAAAAAAATTTTTTTTCATTTTATTTTTGGGGGGTTTTCCTGTCATTGGTCTCCCTTTTTTTCCCTCCCCCTCTTTCTCTTTGCTACTAAAGATGATGCCTCTGATAAAACGGATGGTAAGATCATCTCACTCCACTTCTTCTCTGCTCTTTTCCCTTTCCTCACTTCATGCAGTCCATGTTAACTCAGTTGTGACAGTGTGTGGCCACAGCGCCCCCTGCTGTCAACTTCAAAACCTCATTTCTATTACTGCGCTGTTCACAGAAGCATAGATCAAATATTAACACATCTAAAATCATCTTCTGCTTTACTAAAGCTGAATCTTATTTTAAATATGGCAGTTTTCTAACCATCTGTACTCACATTAAACTGTATCATTCAGCTGTTGAGGTTTTATAGGATACTATAAGGATGTGCTGCTTGAATATTGCACACAAAAGGTGAACTGTGATACTTAAAACATGCTCCTTTTTTGTCTGTCTATAGGAACCAAATCAGACAATGGTAAGACTGTGGTTAGGTGGATGTTTGTGTGCATATTTGTAGGGATGTTCTAGATGGAACTTTTGATTTTAGTCTTTTTGGATCCAACAATTATGTGTTTGATCGATTTTATAATAATAATAAACAAGAAAAGTGACTTTGCTTAAAGGGGATCTATTATGCTCTCTGATATATTCCTGTGTTATTTTTACTGCTACTATGGTAGATGCTTTATGAATTAGTGAGGGTCAGCATATGTGCAAGTAACCCCTGTGAGCCAACAACTCAAGCTTCAGCATCCTGTAAATGTTCAGATTTTCTTTCCTTCTCTTGGCTCTATATGTTACCCCAAATATGGTAACTTCAAACTTGAAAGGGGTGGAGCTAAGGCAGCTTGTTTCAGAAAGATTATAAACGGAGTATGAAATGAGATAAAACAAAAGAATATGGATTTGAAAACGAGCATGATGGGTCCCCTTTAACCACTGAGTTTGGACATGTGAATGCTATTATAAAGTGGGTTCTAAAAGTAATTGGTTGGTGGGAGATTAATGGATTATTCCCTTAAATTCCCTTTTAATCATTAAATCATTTTAGTCTATAATAAAATACCTTATCAAATACTTAACTGGTTATTTTCAGGGATTTCTTTTCTGTGACGGGTTTCTAATCCACTGAAGCATCCCTGTTGTATTCATCTGTGTTTGCACCTGGCTGAATGTGAATGTTGAGTTTAGGGTCCAGTCTTTAGCAACTTTCAGTGTTAGTGGCTTTTCATCAGCTCTAGTGCTTTTTAGTTTCTGGGCTTCATTCAGCTGCAAACTGTGTGCGACTAGTTTCATTAGTGTGTAAAATGCAGGTCTGTTTTGGGGGTTGTTTTTAATGGTTGTGCTTCTACTTGCATGCAGGTCGTGTGCGTACCAAGCAGCCTTTGTCTACTGCCAGCACCGTGTCGAGTCAGGTGGACTCGAGAGGACGCAGCCGCACCAAGATGGTGTCCCAGTCGCAACGTACGTACCTCCTCGCATCAGCCAAAACACAGAGCATAATTTAAAGCCAGCTGTGAGTGAAACCGTCTGGGTAAAACAGGAGAAATGATGAGAGAGTGAGCTTGTAGAAGTATTTGCGGTTCCTCAACTTTTGTTTGTGGAGTTTCTTAACTTGTTGCCTCCACGGTGACGATAAGCTCCATGTGAATGTTTTTGTGCCTTCAGGTTCCGACGAATCCGATTGCACACCAGGTATTCTGTCCGTGTGTCAGAGTGTGCCTGTCTATCTCTGTATCACAGTGGGAATGGTGACCCACCCGCTCTCATTCTGATCAGGGTGTTTTGTGTAAACAGGAGAGCGTGTGCGTGTGTGTGTGTGTGTGTGTGTGTGTGTGTGTGTGTGTTTCTTCTGCATGCTGTGTTTCATCACTGAGGATGGTGTGGTGAACAGTACATTTCCGCTTCTCCAGCCTGGCTCTGGCTTTTATTCAGGTTATTAAAAATACGAGACACAAGCCTCTGGGCTATTCTTATATTGCAGCACATTAGGCAGCTGTGTGTGTGTTTTTTGCGTGTGTAGCTGCTCTCCAAGACATTAACTGCTGATATGCTGCTTCGGGCCATCTTGGAGACCAGTTTAAAATCAGACAGTGATTGGGCCACAAACCAGTGCAACAGTTAAATCTGGATATTTAGATTGAGGACCAAATCGGAGTTAAGAGGGTTGGAAAGCTTTCCGTGAGTGTGTGAGGGTATGGCTCAGTATATTTACTTTAAACCATTTTTCCCTCATTGTTAAACAGGTTTTGTTTTTTTTACATATGCTATGTGAGTTGTCCCAACATGCACTGCTTTTCCAAGTCTGTCATCTGCGGCTGGTTAAGTGTGTGTGTGTGTTTGCTTCAGCTACATTTCAGTACTTGTTTTCTCTTTAATTAATGGAATTATTTCAACATAGTGCTTCAGCTTTGCCTTCATTCTTGGTATGGACCACCAGGATCCTCTCCCTTCGTACTCTTATTTTTTTTTAACTCCCATGACACTTCTTTTGCGCTAACACCCATAATTCATCTGATTTAATCTGCTGTTCCTTCCCCCTCACCTCTGCTTTTCCCCCTTTCTTCCCAACCAATGGGCTTAATGGCTCAGGATCTCAGTCTGCTACCCCTGTCGGTGGTAAGATTACAACGCTACTTATTTTTACCCCGCTCTCTTTAGCTGTACTTTCTTTCCTCTGTTTCCCAAACCTCACTATCTTCACGTGCACGCAGAAAGGTCACTGAGAGTCTCACCCACTCTGGCTTAGGTATGCTGGGATTTGTAGTCACAGACTTATAACATGGCTATGCTGTTACCATGCGATATACACTGCTTTGGGAGCCTCATGTTTCTGCATTTCTATGTGTTACACAATGAAAAGTCGAAAGTCACTCTTTTTTT